CTGCCTCAGCCCCTCGCTTCCCAGAGCTCAGAAGGGCGGTGGTGACCCTGGCCTCTTCCTCCTCCTCACCAGCCTGCCCACCATGCCATTTCGAGAAACCAGCCCCCTTCCTCAACAGCCATTGCTAATCACGAGGCGCCTACGGGTCCTTCAGAGCTGAGGCCTTTTGCAAATCTATTCTCGCGGAGTGGCGGGAGGCTCGGGGGAATTCATAAATGAGCACTGTGACATGGAAAAACGAGGCAGACACGTTAACCCTAGTAAGTCAGTGGGAATCAACACCTCCCCGAAGAGCCTGCCGCCTGGACTTTCTGAGCTGGGGGCTGCTTACTGAAAGCCACCAAAGCATGAAACACGAGGTTGGGAAGGAATCCTGAGCGTCACGGGTAAACAGTGACATGTGTCTCGCTATTACAGAGACCAGCCAAAGTTCCTGAAAGCAGGGATCCCAGGGAAGCGGCATCATTCCGGAGCGAGGCTTTAAAATGCACGGCATCACAACACAGCAAAACCAAAACATTTTTGCTCGAGAGCAGTCAGCACACCAAGGCCCACAAGCAGCCCCCGTTTCCAGACGGCCCCTCCAGACGGCCGCCAGGCCTCCCTGCTCCCATTCTCGAGTAAACTTGAAAATGCTGGACCTTAACGGTCACCCACAGAGGAACGAGCGGGATGCCTGGGTCTCTCCAGATGGGGCGATGGACGGTCAGGTCAGGGGCAAGCTCACCCAAGCAGCCGCACGCCCACCCTCTTCCCCAGCGGTCCTCAGCTACTGACTCCCGCTTACTAGGGCCTGTCTTTTTGGAGGTTTTCTGCTCTGCAAAGAGAGAGTCTAATTTCAGATCAGGCAAATGCAATCCCCAATACCGTCCCTGTGATCTCTGTTCCTGGGACACTTGTCCCCAAGCAGTGTCCCTGGAAGGTAGCGGCTGCCACTGGACTCCTGGGGCTGATGGGTGACTCACCTGCCTTCCCGGTGTCTGCACGCTGAAAAGGACACAGTCTAGCTTATTAGGGCCACCGGGCTGTAAGGATCTGGTGCAGCAGCTTTCTCATTAGGGAGTGTCGCTGCAGAACGTCAGAAGCAATTGGTGAACAAGAGAAGTCCCCCACGGGTCGGGTCTGGAGGCAGCAAGTCCATTAGTCCTATTAGGGCGCTTTCATCTCAGTGCAAGAGGCTGAATTATTCACGAGCACCGCTTCCCCTAAAAGCCCGGGAAATGCAGCTCCGTGGTGCAGCCTGGCAAGGCGAACTCCAGGCCTGTGGGGCCAGCAGCTGGGGCTTGCTGGGGTCCTGCCATTGGCCACCCCCTCACACTGTGGGCCAGAGACACGAGCCCGGGGAACACAGGTGAGGGGCGGGCTGTGCTTTTTCTTATTTGGGGACACGACCCAGGGCTTGCAGCTTCTGTCCCACCACATTCCTGTGTCTGCAGTGGGGGGCCAGGGGCCCCATAGCATGTGACCACCACCACAGTGAAGGGGCTGGGGCCTGACGAGACCAACCCTCAGCCCACGGGGACAGACACCCCTCCTCCTCCTACAAGGGTGTGCCCCCACGTTGGTCTATCCTGTACTGCCAGTACCTAGAAATGGCTGGGAGGTTCTGAAAGTCTGTTGCTTGGATACCATACGACCAATCCCTCCAGGCAAGGGTGGGTGCAGGGACCCTTCGTCACAGCACATGTCCTGACCGGCGTTTGAAAATGCTTTGAGGCTGTACTCTGGGCTGAGGCTGTGCTGAGACCTCTCCTGGACGGCTGTGCCCCATGGGCACTTTGTGTCACCTGAGGGTCCAGAAAGTCTCAGCATGAGGTTATCTTCCAGCTGAAAAGGTGCGCCAGTGCATGTGCGATTTTGGGTGGAGGCTGAGCTGTTCACCCCATGACCAACCTTAAAACAGGGTGGCTGCCACTGCACACTGCGGGGGGGGGTCACTGCCCCAGGCCAGGACGACAAAGGAAACAGGGGCCCAGAAGAGACCACAGAACCGGAGTAACTGGCGGCAGGTCATTACTGGGCAGGCCTCGGTGATGGCGTTGGGGAGTTCTCAAAGGCCCAAGCACCCCCAGCCCCCTGGCCTCTATGTCCCGTGTCACCCCTGGCTGGAGGTGGTCCTTCAGTGCCTGCTGATCAGTCACGGGTGCACGAAAATGGCTCCTGACATTCTGTCCACACGCCCTGCCCACTTACTCCCCTTCCCATGGTATCTACGGCTTAGCCTCCCTGTGTCCAGTTCTCTGCCCACTGCTTGCTGCCTGCCACCAGGCTTCCTTCTTCCCACAGCACAGCTCACATGCCGTCTGTGGCTCCCGAGTGCCCACCGAAAGCAGTCCCGGCTCCTTCGCTCGCATCTGAGGCCCTGCCCAGCACCCCCACCTTCCTCTCAGTCCGGCCCCTCGTCCCTGCGTCCCGTCCCTGGGGGCACACTCCTGTAACCACCACTTCCTGTTCTCTGGATGCCTCTCTGAGCCGTGGCTCAGGCGTCTACTGGAAGGTTCTTGTTGGTCTCTGATGAATCCCGCCCAGGCCTCCAGGTCCAGCTCAAAGCCCCGTGCTGCTTTCTCCGTGAAGCCTCCCTATTCTCAGGGGGCTGTGACCACTCCCTCCTGGGACCCCAGCACTCTTTGGGCTTCTCCAAACTTCAAAACAACATGTTTGCCTTCTGGATACTGGTGGTTGTTTGGGTCCCGGAGTGGACTGCATTTCTTGCTGCCTCTTTGCTGCTGTCTGCGTCACGTGGTGGTGGCTCCTCCCATGGGCTGGGAGTACATTTTCTTGCCCTCTGACATGGGGCACGGCCATGAGACTTGCTTTGGCTAAGAGAATGAGCAGAAGTGATGGGGTGCTGGTTCTGATCGCAGGCCTACAGAGACATTACATGTTTCTGCTTGTCTTATGGCACTTTTGCCATGAGGAGACAGTGTCCCTGGGCACGAAGCATGGGAGGATGTAGGACCCAAAGTGTAGCTCGGAGTCAGACCCAGCTGAGTCTGGCCTGGATGAACTGATGCTCATCAACCCACAGACATATAAGCAAGAAACAAATGTAGAAACAAATGTTTCTTGCTGTATGGCACTGAGTTTTGGGGTTGTTTGGTAGAAATATTCTGTGTAACAGCGGACAGATGCAGGGTCTTGCCTCCCTTCCTAGTCTGTGAGCTGCCCGAGGGCAGGTGCACACCCTGCCCACCTTTGTCCTGTCAGCGGGGGATGCCACACCACTGATGGGCTGAAATGATTATCTGAGAGCCACGTCTGCCTGGGTGGCGAGGATGCCCCACTGGGAGAGGCACCCAGGATGTTAGAGAGGTTGTCATCCAGGCCCAAGAGACACCCCCATATCCATGTGAAGAGGGCACATTGGAGCCCCAAAGGGCAGGATGGCCAGAGCCTGTGGGCATCAGAACATGTAGCTGAGAGGCCAAGAGGGAGGTCTTCAGATCAGAGGGCTCAGTTCTTGTCCTCAGGGCAAGCAAGCCTCCTGGGGATGGGGTGCCTACCCAGAGGGTCCCAGAGGGGTGGAGGATAGGTGGGGTCTGTGGGGTTCTGAGGGCCAGCAGGGGGTGTGGAACACCATTCCACCTTGGCTCTGTTAGACCTGACGATCTACTTGGCACCCCGGGTGAGGCCCTGTCAGCTGGCCAGCGTGTGCCGGGCACATCCCTCCTGCGTGTCTGGCCTCATGCCTTCCCTCTCGGGATCTCCAAGGTCAAATCCTTCCAGGATGAAGGCCACACGCTCATTCTGATATATTATATAACAAACATTTCATCCAATAAAAGCATTTACAAGTCCAAGTTCAGACCTAATTCTTTCAGGCAAAGTCTGACCTAGCAAACGCTTTGGCAGAATCCAAGACTAGGTCATCTCTTTAGGGCTCTCTGTGAAGACTGAGACCGCACGGAGGCACTGAAGCACGGGCATGATCAGCCAGAGGACCCAGGCCCACGGTCACGTTCAGAGGTGGTGCGGTCATGGCAAGGTCAAAGCCGTGTGGACACCCAGTGGTGACCCCAGCAGCCCTGCGCCAGAGAGAACAAGGGCGTGTCGGTGGTAACCCCCTGGCTCTGTCCCCCGTGGGTTGGCCCGGTGCCAGGGAGCTGGTTCTGGGCAGAGGACCTCCCAGGCCTGAATGCCAAGACGCACACACACACCAGGGTCCTGCCCCCAAGAGCTGCAGTGAGGCCTCACATAGTCCCAAGCCCGGCGGCGCTGACCTGTGGATTCCATAACCCTGACATTTCCCGACAGGACGGAAGTGTCAAAGTAAATTCCTAGAGTCAGAGGCATTCCAAGAAGTGCATGTCTGGGTGGTGCAGCCCCAGTTCACAGGGGAGGAGCAGGCTGCCCAGAGGGAGGAGGGGACTCACCCACCTGGGGGACTTGCGGACCAGTGTGCCTCAGTGGGGCCGTGAGCCCCTTTTCGTGCCACGGCCCTCTGGGCAACACTGGTGTGCTGTTTCTCCAACAGGGCAATGCACTAGAGGGAGGTCTGTGAGTCTGCCTGGCCCGGGCCGTGTGGGAATTCCAAGCCCACTCTCCCAGAAGGTGCTGGCCTTTGACAGCCCAGGCCTCCGCAGGCTGCCAATCAGCCCAGACCCAAGGGAGAGGGGAGGGCAGCCGGGAGATGGGAGCTATGTCTGTTTTACTCTGATAACCTAAGAAGCACAAACCCACTGCGACAGGAGAGCCCCTTGGAAGCTGCCCCAGGAGTGAGGCTTTACGTAGATCTGGTGAGAGCTGGGCAGGTGTCAGAAGCTTGTTGGCTCAAATCAAAGCAAATTCCGGAAAGTTAGCACGCACAATGACCCTGAGTTCACGTTTTTCATTCCATAATGCCTTGCGGGTGGGCGCCAAGAGGGAGCCAGCCTGGAGCTTCCTGGGGATCGTATCATGACGTCCCAGAAGTCACCAGCCATCCCGGGTGGGCACTGCCCTCCCGCCCGCTCCCCCTGCCTCCAGCCTGCGGGTTTTAGGGAAAACGGAGCGCTTGTTACCTGTAAAACTGGAGCTGTCTTTTGGGACTCCCATAGCGAGTGCTGCGGACAGCGAAGGAGGAGAGAGAAAAGGAAGAGAGAGAAGAGTCCACAGTTGGCGTTACCCACAGGGAAGTTCCAGCCCGGCTCCAGCGACACCTCGGCCGGCCGCCCCACCCCGCTGCACCAGGCCGAGAACCAAGCGCTCGGCGGCTGCGCCACCTAGTGGCACACGAGGCAGAGGCCGCTTTCTTCGGATGCTGGGGGTCCTTCCGTGCCTGCCTCATTCCCACACGGAGCAGAGACATGGAGACAAGAGGTAAGCCTCTGGGGGACAGTCTGTTTGGGTCTTAATGAAACATGCTTTAGAACAATGGTCGAAAACCCTCAAACCGAGAAGTGCCCGTCACCCCACACGTTGGCAAGTCTGCATGTGACCATGGGGCCTTTTGGGGACCTTGAAGATGGAGGGACATGCCTTGCCTTGCGGGTTTCAGGCACCTGCTCTGGCTCAGGCCCTAACTCTTATCTAGAAAGATCCAATCAGTCCAGCTCTGCCAGTCCCCGGGATCCCAGTGACTGCCATCTGGGTTCTGTGCTCTGCCCACGGAGCCGTAGCTCTCACCCCATGCTTTCTGCATGCATGCCCTCCCTGTGGTTCAACCCGGGCTATTTTCCAAACAGAAAGACCTAGAGCTGGATTTGCAAGTGGCCTCGCCTGGGACACTGGGGAAGCTGGGGGGACCACTGGGGCTATGCGAGCCGTGCCAGCTGTGCCGTGTAGGACGGAAACATGGAAGCTGGGAAGGCCCCCCTCACTCTCGGCCTGTTACTCCAGGGGCGTACCTCCATGGAGTCTAATCCTGGCTTCATCCCACTTGGACAATATGGGGCGTTTCCTTCCCACTTGGTAAAGCTTCGGCTCCCTTCTATGGAGGAAACGCTTTCCTGTGAGCAGCCCAGAGCCCTGGGGGCCTCCCTGGGTCCTTCCCTCTGGGCCCACGGGAGGAGCCTGGCCTCAGGGACCCCTCCTTGGAGGCATGACTGACCCTGGGGGCCTGGGTGGGGGTGGGTAGTCACCTGTAGATCATGCCGGGGGAGCCCGTCTGCCGCAGGGAAAGCCGAGCTGGGGAGCCCGTGGTCGATTCCGGATACATGGAGCTGGCGTCCCGCGTCCCGACCTGCCCTCTTCCTCACGAGGGGAGATTCTGGAGAAGCAGAGGCGCGGCAAGGGGTTAGATGTCATCACACGCCCTTTGTGGTCCCCGCTCTGTGGCTGGGAGAGCGAGTCAGTGGGGATGCGTGTGTGTCCCCCACAGGCAGGCAGGCCCGTGGGGCTGGGACGGGGCTGTGGGTCGGGCCCAGGGACGCAGTGCAGGGTTTCTACTCTGTCTCTCACTCTCCAGCCCTGTGCTTCCTGGGCGTCCTTCCGCCTCTCCCTGCTTTTTGGAGGCTCTGGACCCACTTTTCTGCTGCCCAAACTATGCAGAATCAGTGGTCTCAGATGGAGTCTGTGGGCTGTCTGCCCATTCCAGGAAGTGGCACCACCTCCCGGGTCATCCCGGGGGCTTCGTTGTCCCCACCCCTTAACTCCAGTCCACTGCAGCAGCTGGTGCCACAGCTTAGCTTGCAGGAAGGCGGCATGCCAGCTGTCCCCATGACCCCAAGCTCCTGATGTTATCACACACCCTTTGTGATCCCTGCCCCTCGAGAGTGCATGGGACCTAACAACAAAATGAACACAGGTGATGGGATGTCACCTCTGTGATTAGGTGACATAGGCCATGCCTTCTGTCTCGCTAGCAGACCCTCTCCCTTGCTGGCTCTGAAGAAGCAAGCTGCTGTGGCGCAGAGGCCTGTGTGGCAAGGAAAAGAGGCCCTTAGTCCAACAGCGCAAGAAGACGTGACTCCTTCAAACCTATGTGCGCTTGGAAGAGTAACCTTCCCCAGTTGAGCCTCCAAGTGAGACCCCAGCCCTGGCCAAACACCTTGATTGCAGGCTCAGAAACAGAGAATCCAGGCAAGCTGTGCCTGAATGCCTGACCCACAGAAACTGAGATAATAAAAACTGTTCTAAGCCTCTAAGTTTGCAGTAACATTTTATAGAGCAACAGATAATGAATACCATAGCCATGTGCATCCCTTCTGCCACTGTCGCCCTTGACCGGAGCCACGGGATCAGATTCCCAACTGCCCCACTCTCACCCCCCAGCCCTGTTCATGCTCCACCAGCAGACAGGGAAAGTATTTCAAAAGGAGATTAGGTCATGTCACTTTCTCCCCTCTTCCCATGGCCATGGTCCCAGGCCCTCTTGCTCAGCCCTTAAATGACAGAACCAGCCACCCTGTCCTTTTCAAACAGGCCAAGTACACGCCCTCCACAGGACCTTTGTATGTATAGCTCCTTCTGCCTGAAACACCCTTGCTACAGACCTTCTTATTGTCAGGCCTCTTAGGGACTCTGCCCTTGACTGTCATGCCCAGGGATTCCTGTGCAGAGAGGCTATGAAGGGGACACCAGGGTTGTCCCCAGGTGTGATGTCCTCATTTCCTCTGGAGGACCTCCACCAGGAGCTGCTGGTGTTGCTCACTGCTATATCCCCTGGCTCAGAATGGGCCTGGCACTTGGCTCCTGAAAGGGTGACCATCCTGTGATCCCAAATTGCTTTGCCCTGTGCCAATGGGCAAAGGGATGGTCTAGGCTCACAACAGCCCAGCCACCCACACCGGGGTCCTGAAACTGTATTAAGCATGTTCCTCAGCCGAGGGTTGGCCTTGGAGGGCTTTGTTCACCTCACTCTTCCTGTCCTCCTCACTGGGAAGTGGGCTTCCTCTGGACACTCCCCAGTCCTCACACCAGGCACCACATAATACACATCGTTTCCCGCCTATAACTGAGGGTGTCTGAGGGTGTGAGCATGTGTGTAAACACGGTGGAAAAATGGGGAGAGAAAATTCAAGGAGTCACTACCTTGGCAGCCTCCTGGAAATGATGGGGGGCCAGTGCAGGCCCCTGGAGTTTTCTTCCTAAGGAACCTCATTAGGAATGGAGTGATGAAATGAACTACAAATGCACATAAATCCATATAAGAGATGCAGCAGCAGATTTGTGGACAGCGAATCCAGGGTCTTCCGGCTCATGACATGATTCCTCAGGAATCGGGGTGATGTAATCCTCACAAGCCTCTCCCAGGGCCTCTGGACACTTCTTTCCAGACCTTGGCTGCTCGGCCCTGTCCACCCTGCCTGGTGGGATGGCTCCACGCCGACACTCAGGGCTCCTGCTCACCTCCTTTACTCTGGGTGTCCATCAGGGTCACTGTCACCAGGTGTATCAGCCCAAATTACAGCCGTCTGGATCTATGCGAGAAACTCAGAACCCCATGTGGCTGCTGGACACTGCACTTTTGGGCTACCATGTGCCCAGAGGTGAATGCATCTGGTCTGTGCAGCAGCTCTTCTGCAGGAGGTCAGTTACACGGCTCTGGGGAAACTGAATTCCTGCGGCCTTGGGGGACGGCCCTCAAGGGCGGCCTCTCCTTTGTACCGTTAGCTGCTCTCAGAGGCTGCTCTCCCAGATGATCCAAGGCATGAAAGCTAATCATCTCACTGACATCATCAACCTTAAGTCAGAGGATGGCAGGCTCACTGGTGCACAGAATGCCAGTCCAGGCCCTACAGTGTGCAAGTGTTGGTAGCTGCCTGTACAGAGCCCTGGCACAGATATGAAACCACGGCCACAGAAGTGAGGCTGTGCAGAGCTCCGGGCACCACATTCAACTGTACTGGTCCAGTGGCCACCTGGGAAGAGGTGAGGGGGCACAGAATGTCCTCGCAGAGTCATACCCAAGGGGATGGGGACCAGGCAGGCAGGAGCAGGCTGGGATGCATATGCCCTTAACTGGGGGTGCAGCCCACCCACACATTAGTCCTTCCTCTCTGGCTTTCCCAGGGCCCAGCTGCTGAGTGGTGGCACCTCAGCTCCTAACTTGCGCACTCAGGGGTGATTAGCTTCCAGGAGTCCAGAATCACAGACTCAGTCTGAATATGAGACGGTGTGGGGGCTGAGTCTCCGATTCTATAGATGCGGGGTGGGCCCAAGAATCTGCATTTCTAGTGAGTCCCTAGGTGGCACCATTTTGCTTGTCCAGGGACCACACTGTGAGAGCCACTGGCCTAGGGCCTAGGTCCTGGGCCAGGAGTTGGCAAACTCCAGCTAGTGGGCCATATTTGGCTCCCTGTTTCTGTAAATTAGGTTTTATTGGAACACCTCCACACCCACTTGTTTACCAATAGTCTGTGGCTGCATTTGTGCTGTGCTGGTGGGGTGGAGTAGCTACAGTAGAGATTGGCTTGCAATACTCACTACCTGGCCCCTTACAGAGCAAGTCTGCTGACCCCTGTTCTAGGCCAGCCTGTCCCTCACCTCCAACATGATGACTGCCTAGCTCCTCTCTCCTGAATCGCCCAATGCCTCCTCTCCCAAGTCACTCCCAGTTCTTGACTTTGCTGTTTCCTCTGTTCTAAACAAAATAGAAGCAACCAGAAGCCAGCTTCCCCAGACCCACCCACCAACATCAGCACACAGAACTCTGCTGCTACCCTGATGCCCCGGCCACACCCACGTGGGTCCCTGAGCACACACTCCACCCACCAAGGGCATCCTGCAGCGACAGCCCAGAAGTGGCACACCAATTCCCCGCCCTTTATGGGGCACTGCCATCTGCGTACAGCTCATTATTGTTTCTCCTGTCTTAAAAAACCAAAAGCAGTTTCTTGGACTTACTTCATTCTCTGCTGTTGCCCTATTTCTCTCCTTCCATTCATAGCAAAACTCAACAAAGCTGTCCTTTCTTGTCTGCAATTCTCCGCCATTCTGCCCTCACTGTTCTGGGGAAGCTGCTCTTGTCTCCCTGTTGCTAAGTCCAAGGGCGCCCATCGTATGGGCTGCCCCCACCTTCCTTGTGACCCCGCGCTCTCCAGGCCATCTCCTGCCTCTCCGGCTGCCCCTCCTCAGTCTCCCTGGCCGCCTCCTGCCCATCAGTCTGATCTCCAGCTGTGGTGGCTGCCAGGCTTAGGCCTTGAATCTCTCTTTTCCATTCACACAAGTTCCTCCGATTCTGCTAGTCCTCTGGCTCTGAACTCTGATACACTGGGGGCCCACCTGCCCTGTGACCTGTTGGACCTCATTCCCCATTGTCCCCTTGCTGACTGTGCCCCAGCCATGAACCCAGCACACCCTCCTGAGGGCTTCTGCACCTGCTCTTCCTTCCACCTGATGTTCTTGGACCCCCGAGATCCTCCTGAGGGCCCCGACTCTGACCTTTGCCTCTTTATACAAAGGTGACCTTCTTGTGGAGTCTTCTCCATACACCTCATATCTTAAACTGCAAACCCCACCTCGGCACCTCCCCTGGTCCCTTCCTTGTGTCATTTTTCTCCCAAGCAGTTGCTACCTAACATATCTTATGCTTCACTTACTGTCTCTATGATCTGACACCTCCCCCAGGATGCCAGCTCCAGGGGCTTGTCTGCTGTGTCTGCATGTAGGAAACACTCAGATATTTGTTGAATAAATGAATGAATGAATGAACAACCCTGTGACTCAGCCTGCTGAAGGCCCATCCAGGGAAGCGGCTCTGTGTCACTGCATGTAGAACACCCAGGTGACAGGAAGGCTGGGGACGCTGCCTGCTCGTGGGTGGGCTGTCTTTTCCAGGGTGGTGCTCAGGGCAGCTCCAGGCCAGGGAAACCGGCCCCACTGAGGCAGGCGTCCCTGGGGGAAGCTACCTGTCCTGCCCCTCCCCCTACCTTGCATGGGCTCAGGAAGGTCAGGCTCCCTCCCAGATAGCAGCCAGCTCCTCTGCCCACAGCTACAGCTGGCCACTGGCCATGCCCTGCTGCCCACCTTCCAAGGAACCGCAGGGCTCATTCCTCTGGGGGGTCTGGCACCTTGGCTACCTCAGGGGAGCAGGTGCTGGCGAGGTTTCTCACATGCCCGCTGACTGCCTCCTCGCGCTGCAGCTGCCACCGCCCAATCAGGAGCGACTGCACCCGCCCAGCGGCCAATCCCCGAGCAGCCGATGTCCCAGCGGGATGGTGCCAGTTAAAGGCCCTGCGGAAGGAGGCGGACAGCCTTGGGGCTGCAGAAGGACTGGGAGGAAGGCTTGGGCAGCTACCAGAGGTCACACCTCGAGTTCACACCTGG